GCTGCGCGCAACCCTCCGCAAGGAGAGGCTGCACGGGGCTATGGCTTCTTTAGCCCCACGCAGCCTCTCCCGGCAAAGAGAGGCTGCATGGGGCTAAAGGGGAAGGCAAAACAGCGAGCGGGATCCACCCCGCTCGCTGCCTTGCCTTCTTCCATAGCTGCGCGCAACCCCTCCGGCAAGGAGAGGCTGCGCGGGGCTAAAGGGGAAGGCAAAACAGCGAGCGGGATCCATCCCGCTCGCTGCCTTGCCTTCTTCCATAGCTGCGCACAACCCCTCTGGCAGGGAGAGGTTGTGTGCAGCCTGTACGCTGCTCTTTGGGGCTGGGGGGGGAAAATATTTTTTTCCTTGATTTCCCCCCCTAAAAACTGGGTGCGCCCTATGGTCCGGTGCGCCCTATGGTGCAAAAAATACGGTATACTGCAGTGACTTCAGGAGCCAACTGTGTCTCTACTAGCATTATATCCCTTCGGGAACATCTTGCCTTGTATCCCCCCTGCCCAGTCACTTCAATCATCGGGAGAGACACTCTTAGTAGTGCCATAATTAGCTGAGCTTCTCACAATTTATCCCAGCAAATTCTTTATTTAATTTTGCATCAATGAAATTATTGGACAATCGCCCTGACAAAGAGAGCAAGGAATGAGTTTGTATACCAAGGGAATTATGAATCAATGCTTTTAAAAGTATCTTTTTAATCTTCTGGACATTAAACTACTAAAAGCCTGCAACATTCTGGCTGGTAATTGTGTATTCCATTTCAGAAGAGAGGGAAGAAAACAAATGCAGATGGTTTTAAGGAATCACAACCTACTTCCACAGGGACAGAACACTATGCTGGAACACTCAGCTGTTTTTCCTTAGCAGGCATGGAAAAGGAAGATCAGAGGAAGGCTGAGTGAGGAAATAGTGGTTCATCCATTTCTTGAGCACCACTCCTTCTCAATAGCACAGCAATGGTCTTGGGATGAATAGTTTTAAGCATGTCCATAATCAGACAATTTTGGTTGTTCCTAAATATATCTGCTCACAGCACCTGAGGCACCAAACAGAATCAGTTTAAGCCAAAGTTCTTTGCCATAGTGACCCAGTTCAGATGTTCACACCCCAGCTTGATAAATTTATTGTTTGAAGTAGGTTTAATATCCTAGTTAGCAAAATGCTATTAAGCTACAGTTCCTTGTTTTAATGTAACAGCTAACTATGGTTTAATTAATCTGGGATGTGGGCACTAAGGAAGAGAGGAAGCATGAGAAGTGAGTGCATGTTTTTGTTTCTAGTTCCTGCCTTCTATAGTTTAGCAAACTGGGAATTAAATGTTCAAGCAGGCCATTGTTTACCACTCATCACAATGGTCTGTTGTAGCAGACCTTAGATATTGGCCAGGAGAATCCAAAAAACCTCTTAAACTAATTCAGATGTTCAAGGATGTCTGCAGCTTATGTTGCTCAAGTAGTACTCATCTCCTATGGCAAAACAATCTGAGAGGACAATGAGTTCTATTGTTTAAAGGGGTGGAGGGTGGGAATCAGACAGGTCACTAGGTTTGCTCCCGTCAAAAGTAATTATTTGGATCACATTCATAACTGCTAGCAACAAACCCAGATAAATAAGATCCATGGTTAGGGATTTCATCTGACTGAAGATGGCCAACTTTACAAGGCTGAAATCAGTAGGTGCCCCTGTAGAAAAGTGAAGCAGAGCTGTGGTAATGAAGGACCCAAGCATTTGCAGATATAAAACAGATTACTTCAGTGTGCATTGCACTGCACCATTTCACATTTGGCACAGACTTTTATGTATTCCAGCTTTTATGGGATCCTCCTGCAACTCTTCACAGCCTGCTCTGGATGAAACGATCTTGGATAATTGCGTATCATCTGCTAAATGTCACTGAAAGTTGATCTCTGCTTTTCTTCTCAACATTTTATTGTTGGGCAGTACATGTGCAAGCAGCAGGTCTTGGATGAAAACATGGCATTTAACCTCTTTTCAGTCCAAGAGCATACTATTAATTTGATATTATATTTTTCTTAAAAATCCATTGAAGTGCTTTCTATTTTTTTGCTTCACTGTAGTAAGAGTTTTTATAAGGAACTGCAAGAATGACTTTCATTTAAGTTGATTATATTCACACCATTGTCTTTATTTACAGGCTTGCTGATGACCTCAAACGGGCTCTTGCACCGAGTCATGACCCTCTCCTTTATAAGATGCAATAAGCTCTTGTTTTTGTCTACATGCATTATCACCACATCCTCTGTTTTTAATGTTCAGGCTTTGAATGCCATTGCTTATGTAGCCATCCAAGCACAAGAGAAAGATATCAGCAGGCTTGGAAGAACTCCAAGGTTTGTACAAATCCAAGAAACCTATAGGGGGAAATGCTGAGTAGAGGGGAGAGGAAGAGAACCAAAATGGTCCAATGAGGCCCAAGCATGCATTGTGGACATGGAAAGTTCAGCGGGGAGGGAGAGAGAAATGGAAAACTGGGAGGAAGGGGCAAAGGGAATGGAGAATCGTGAACAGGAGCACTTCATATGCCAACTTTTCCCCCCCAAGTCCCGATTGTTAACTATTTCCTATCACAATTTAAGAAGTACTATAGGGGAAACTCAGCCATCCTTTAACCATTTTGGAAACTTCTGGAATTCTTACAAAACTGAATGGAGATGAAACCACCTTTCATTTGCCCATCTTTATCTATATTCTAATTATGGGCTTGCAGTACATTTTGCAGTACCTGCAGGCTCAAATTTCATGCTTCGTGGTTGTTTCTCAATCCTGAAATTGCAGGCATGTACACTATGCATTCTTGGCATAACTGTTTATTATATCAATCAGTCACAATGGGTTGGAGGCAGGCAGGCAGGCAATCAAGCAGAGTAGACAGTCCAAAAGCAGCTCAATCTGTAACCTGAGTAATGAGTTTACCAGGCCAGATGCAACAGCTTCATTTTTATTTAAAAAACACACCAGGTGGCACCGTATTGGTCCTTTCTGTGACACCTGGTGCCTGCTGCATTGCTAGCTACAATACCATTCTCCATCTGCAGTGGAATGTAGCACAGCAGACAGAAAGCCAGCAGTTCTCTCCCCCAGCGACCTGGATTAACAGAGAATAAAGATGTCTGGAACTCCTAGCACCCCCCATTTTGAGACCATTGCCATCTTTTGAATAGGCCCAAACTTTCCTGGCTGACAAAGTTTATATGGCTTTGTTTTCACTGTTAAGAAGACTCAAACTATTTAAGCTACAGAAAATATATAGAAAAGTTCTATGTTATATCTATCAAAATATCTAACTGAGTATGCTAACATAGACACAGTATTTTCATTACAGAAGTACTTTAGAATCTCATCAATTCCATAGTGTAGCATCATTTTAATATCCAAGTAACAGAACTATTTGCATAAGTGACTCGTCAAAAGCCCATTAACAGTGGATGCTGGTCTACTGAAATGATTGGGGCATTGCCCCACCAACCTCAATCTGCCCTCAAGTCAGTTCCCCATCTTTTTGCCAGCTTACAACCAGCTCATATTTCTTCCTTTTTAGGCTTTGTGTTGCCCTTGCAAAACTCAGCAGGGAGGAGGATGGTGGGAGGCAAAACTAGAATTAGCTTCCTGCACTTTCCATTAGCTCTGGCGTCTCCTGCTGTTGCTTCCCCTTCCTTCCATACCACCAGCCATCAATAGCAAGGGCATATAGTTCAGCCTTTTGAAATGAGACGGCAGCAGAATGTATGTGTGCAGTGGGAGGGAAGAGCAGCAAGTATATGGTGTTTGAATGTGCCCTCATGTAAGAATCTCCTTGTAAATGTATTGTTGCCTGTTTGGCAAAGGCTTTTTTAGGGTAGGGCTGGCTACTGCTTGGTCTTCCAGATGTTGTTGCAGCCACTTCCATCATCCCTGACCAGTGGGCATGCTACCTCAAACCAATGGAAGCTGGAGTCCAGCATCAGCATCCTCAACCCTGCTCTAGGCCCCCCAAATCCAGCAATATTCTCTGGACCACAACAGTGAATCTCTTTGTAAGGGGACAGTACTTTAGATCAGGCATCCCCAACCTTTGGCCCTCCAGATGTTTTGGGACTACAATTTTCATCATCCCTGACCACTGGTCCTGTTAGCTAGGGGTCATGGGAGTTGTAGGCCAAAACATCTGGAGGGCCGCAGGTTGGGGATGCCTGCTTTAGATCAACTGCCTTTGTTTAGAATACCAGGTAACACATTTCATTTTATACTGAGCGGTTTAATTTCTGAGATCCAACAAGCATTATTTTCCACTCAAGAACAATTTGGTCACTACCACCTGCTTCTCTTCAAAATATGTGGTACATATTCCAAAACCTACACAGCACACCAAAACTCCTTCTCTGGTTGGTCTGTAATAGCTGTACTTGAAACGTATTTCTCATTTGCTGCTTTCCTTCTGATAGCTTTGATCAATCCAAGAAAGAACTAAAAGACTGTTAAGTACTAAGTTGCACAAGAAAAGGGCCGGTTTTTTTTCTTCCTCCAACAGCCGGTATAATAGCTTTGAGTACATGCTACAATATAATATTATACATGTAAGTGAACTAGTAGTATAATCTTGTACTTGGAACAACCTGCTAGCTGAGGTGCCTTTTCTTCCCTCCTTCACTTCATGCCCCTGCATGCTCTCTGTGACTCGCCAGTTTCACTGCCTTTCCCTTGCTTAAAAGCAAATGTAATCAGGCAACTATCCAATATGATTTATAGAGAGGCCCACAATTCATCTTCCCACATTGAACATCTATTTCTGACAATGGTTGTGGTCAGATGCAATGCTAAGCCACAAAGTATGGTTTGTTTAACCATACTGTGCTTGGGGCCAAGTACTGGTGCATGCAGTTCAAAGGGTTCCAGCTGTGCTCCTCCCTTGAGAGGGGAAACAAACCGTGAAGTGGCTGGGCTTAGCATTCTGTCTGAACCAGCACTTGGGGTGCCTTCCCTCCAAACCAACGATGATCGGAAAAGCACAGCTCAGTTGGTAGAGGATGAGGCTCTTAATCTAAGGGTTGTGGGATCAAGCCCCACGTTGGGCAAAAGTTCTATGATTCTAAGATCAAGGCTTGGCTTGAGATTGTGGTTTGTTTGGAGAAACGAACAAAGAGTGATGGTTCAGACAAAATACTAAGATAACCACTCCGTGGTGCACCAGTACATAGCTCAGATAGTTAAACAAGACAAATATTGTGACTTAGCATTATCTATTAACACAGTCAATGGCTACGTCATTTCAAACCTTTGCAATGTATTAAAATGATTGCGTTGACCCAGGAAAATATTGTCAAGGACCTATGTGTAGAACAGAGATAGCTCTCCACATGCTGTTGGGCTACAGCTCTCATCTCTGACCATTGGCCATGATGGCTGGAGCTAATAGGAACTGTAGCCCAACACCTAGAAGGCCAAAGGTCAGCTACCCCTGGTGCAGAGAAACACAATGCACGGACTTTGAAGTTAGCACTCCTGAAACAAATCAACACACTCAGAAACCCCAGAGTCCTATTTAGGTGTCAGATGCAATTTCCAGCAAAAGGAAAGCAAGCATATAGAGAGAGAAAGGTTTGGGGTTTATTTGTTTTTTGGTTTTTGAAACATGAGGAAACAAAGTTTTGTTAAACAATTCAGACTGCAAGAGTATCTCCTTGGATCATCTGAGCAATGATAGATGTTTGCCTCTTCTTTTAAGATTTCAAGGTAAGTAGCATACAAAACCAGGAAGGAGGAAGGAAGGGGCTCAATAGTGACTTGAAAGTCTACATTTTTGCCCAGATCAATTCATTTCAAAAGAAGGATGGTGCCAAATAATGTGCAAAGCCGAGCAACACAGGCACATCAGCATTTCACAGTAACTATGGGGAGAAGTGAAAAGGAATAAACATAATTATCTTGGTATACAGTCTATTATAGAACTTAGCATGCCCAAAATAAGAGATACACACACCCTTTGTGTGAATCCTGTGCTAGGGTAGAAGGACAAAAAGGAATGGGGCAAATAAATATCTGGGACAGCTACACTAGTTTGTTTCTGAGCAAAATTCAAAGTGCTGGGTTGTGTGTGGTTTTTCTAATGTATAAAGTCCTAACAAGGACCACAATATCAACATGAAATAGTCTGGCATTGATACTAGTCTAAGTGACCCTGCTCTGAGTCCATACAAGCCCAACCTTGTAATAAATAAGCCTTTTGCTTATTTATTTGTCCAGGCTGTCAAGGTCTATTTTGTTTTTATGCTGTAATTTTTGTTAACTGTTTGCTGTGATTTGTTGAATTATTTATGGTTTTATTCCATGTGCTGCTGCCTATCCACACCATTTACAACCCAGTGGAAAATATGCTAGGACTACAGGCATAAACTGTAATCACGCAGATTATTTCACAATGCAAAATCTTCAAGCACAGTCAAGTAAGTAGGAAATCTGCTTTTTTAAAGAAGTTTTGATCTGTCAAGTTGAGCTAAGGAACAAACTTGTTATAACATAGGAAAGACATGCCGATCATCTTCCTTCCTTGACAGAGCGTGTTTGTGCGCCTGATCTTCTGTACTTCTCTGTAGCCCATAAAGAGAACTGAGCCATTTGCAGACTATATGTGCCTCCATAAAGTTTTTTTAAATATCTACAAACATGAGAATCCTAGCGTTCATTAAAATTTTAGACTCCTAGTTTTCATTTTTTTAAAATGACCACCACTAAGAACTGCCACTTACAAAGCTAAGTTGGCATGAGCAATGGTAAGAGTTTCCAAAGCATTTGTCTGTGCTGGATGCATGCCCTTCAATAATATTAATAATAATAATAATTTAGTTTCTCTGAATTATATGTGAAAAGTACATCATTTGAACAAATGTGCAAACTTGAATGTAACAGGGATTTCATACTTCTCTGAAATTTACTAAGTTACTTTATTTTTAAACCCACAAATGTCTTTTAAAATGTGTATTTTAGGATAAAAAACATTTAGGACTAAGATAATATATTGTTTAAATATGCATTTTGTGGTAAGAAATCCTGGTTCAGATTATTAAAAAAAAGAGAAAAGAGTACAGTGGTACCTCGGGTTAAGAACTTAATTCGTTCTGGAGGTCTGTTCTTAACCTGAAGCACCACTTTAGCTAATGGGGCCTCCTGCTGCCGCTGAACGATTTCTGTTCTCATCCTGAAGCAAAGTTCTTAACCCAAGGTAATATTTCTGGGTTAGTGGAGTCTGTAACCTGAAGTGTATGTAACCTGAAGCATATGTAACCCAAGATACCACTGTAATGTGGAAACAGGACTGAATGGACACATGCGAAATCAAAACAATCTGAAAACATATTGATCTATTCCCAACCAGTCCCAATGGTGCAACCCTAAGTATTGGTGCTAACCAGCTGTTTCCCATTGTGCATCACAGCTGTGGCTCCAACAGGGTTCTTGAGGAGAATGGACCATCTCTACCAGTCAAGAAAAGGAGACTTCCTGAAAATAAGAGACTAAATAGACTCCTACCTAGCAATACCCAGTGCCCTCCCAGCCCAATTAAAAGTGACTTTAAAGAAGCAGCTGGGTAGTTAATTTTTGTACCCATGGGTCTGAACCATCACTCCCAATTTAAATAGGGCACAACTACAGACTGTTAAAAGTGAGTCAAATACAATGAGACTTCAAGAAAATAATAATAATATGCCCTCGGAAGTCTGATCGAAGCTGTAGATTACAAATGGTTGGCATAGAAATGCAGACCACATTATCTGTTTTGAGTCTTACATTTACAGCTGACCAAATATGAACATTAAAAGAAAGAAAGCAGCTTCATGTGTCCAGTGCCACATAATATATATTACTCTGCTCTAATAATACCACTTAGCATTTACTCAAGAGTGTTCAGATCGCTCCACATGCACTCTCAGTTTTCTTCCCAACAGCCCTATAAAAGGCAGGCAAGTATTAAGCTTCCCATATTACTGTCTGACAGAATAATAATTTGCCTAAGGTGACTTGAGTTCAGGCAGGATGCAAACTGGGAACTCCTTAGCACTCACACCTCCCAGCCATCTGGCTGTACCCCTTTTTAACCAAAGTTTGCATTTCATGGTAAGTTCAGCATCTATATGGCTACAACAAAAGTTAGGGGAACAGAGCTGGAGGCATTCAGGAAGTCGTCAAATACAAAACCATCCTTCCAACCGCATCTTGCAAGCAAAACTAAGAAGCTCTGGAGGAAATTGTTCGAGGAAAGGGCAAAAATAAAAATAAAAAATGTTCCTGGCCAATATCAGGAGAGGAATCTGAAACCTTTCCAAGAGAAAGTACCAACATTTGTGGCTTTTTTTTTTTTTTAAGGTGTACCTTTAGAAGAAGCTGCTCTGCACTTTCCAAGGATCATTTTGTGGAAAAATGGATCACAAGAAGCTCAGGTGAGATCACACATTGAAAAGCGTGGAAGAAGTCATAGGCACATTCTATATATAGGGCTCCAATATTATGGGCAGAATCCAATCTGTGCTCTTGCAGTCGTTGAAAAGGTGCTGATCTACACAAATGGATAATTTTATTTGTATGCTGCCTTTCCACAGTTCAAACAAGGACTCATAGCCAACATGGCCTAACAGAGGCCTCTTCTAACAGGATGAAGGGAGGCAAAAATTTTGCTGATTCCTTCTCTGCCCTGCAGTTCTAACACCCTACAACCCCAAAAATCAGATCCAGAAAGTTGGGGAACTTTCCAGAATAGGATGAATAATCGTAAAATTGCCACCCCATCAGTGGATGTCTGCACTGGATCAGAAGCCCTTTCATGCACAGAGGTCTACTACTACTTTATACTAGTAGTAAATATAGCATTGAAGTATATTGACAATATATTAACGTGAATAAGAAAAAGAAAGCATATTAACACACCATAAAATACATTAATATATTTTGTTGATTATATCAAAAGAGAAGAAAAAACCATCACCAACAGCAAGAACAATGAGTAGAAATAAAAGAGTGAAAAAAGAAAAGACATTTTTGAATAAATGAGATGTATCTCTGCGTACATCCAAGTGGAACATACGTATTAATCCACCCAACCTTCCAGTGTGTTCCTAATTGTGGATATGGGTCTGCATGTTGTTGTACTTTATTACACCAGTACATGATGGATAATCACAATTACTCTATAATAATTTTTAAAAAGATTATTGAGCGGTCTCCCTGAGAGGGCCACCATTTATATTTCAGTGCATATTAGAGGTTTGGGGAGGGAAACAAAGAGTTGAAGAGTAAGAGTTGTGGATTAGAGTGACCTAAGGAACTGTGAACCCTGTGGAGAGACTGTTCTGACATGAATATGATTTCCAATTTCTTAGAAGTCAGCTCCATTTTGTAATTAGGCTTCAGTATAACAGAATGTTCCCAGTGACTCTTGTTCTTCTTGCAATATGTGCAATGTGTATCAATAAACAGAGAAAGCTGAGGAGACCCGAGGACATCCCATTATAATAACACACCCTGTTTGGAAATGTTATCAGGATGTACAACAGATCCTCTCTCCTGTTGAGAACGGGCAACTTTTGCCCCGAGGTGCCTTTCAGGTTCATTTCCGGCTGCCTAAGAAATTTGGGATACAGCCAGCCAAGCTTGGATATTGTAAATAACAAAATGCAGGAGACTGAAAAGAACAGAAAAGGAAGGGGACCTTTCCATTGCATCAACAATCTGAAAGCTCCACCATGACTGTTCCTGACTTAAGTTTCCTGTGGCATTTTGGGAAGTGAATTTAAACTAAGAATTAAAAAACCAAACAACAAGGATTTGTAAAAGGGCCATATCTAAGTGGCAGGAGAGCTGCTTTGCATGTAGAAAATCCAAGTTGCAGCTCCAGGCATTCCCAGAGAGAGCTAGGGAAAGCTCCTGTCTGAATCCCTGCTAGATAGTGTAGAGCTAGATGGATCAATGGTCTGACTCCGTACAATGCAGTTCCTATGTCTTCATGTCCTATCTTCCGCATTTCAAACATAAATGGAATAAAAATTCTCACCTTTCTTCCAAGGAGATTATGTCAGTGTGCATG